TCCATTTTTTGGAACCTGTTCTTTTCAATGCTACTTGGATGACCTTGGGTGACCCAGCTCTCAGAGCAGCTTTCTTTCCTCCATACCAACCTGCTCCAGGACCACCTTCATCCCCTCAGCAGAGTCAGCCTAGGGGTTGAACAGGTATATAGAGGGATGTCAGGTACCGTCTGTTTGTTTATGTTTTGCCAAGTGTTTGTTTTGTGCCAGGGCCTCTCACTGGGAAGCCATGTTTTTTGGAAAGAACAAGGCAGAAGCAGGGAAGGAAGGATCAGGGCATGAGGGATTGAGGGCTTGCCAGGGCCAGCAGTGAGCCTCTGATGGACTCCACATAAGGAGTGACAGGACCAACTTTACACAAATCCCAAAGGTCCCTTCCTGGAAAGGATGAGCCCGATAGATCAGAATAAGCAGCATCTTAGAAACATAATCTGCCTGTGAATTGATTGAGGCCTTCCTCTTCCTGTCCCGCTGCCAGGATCCCAGGGCGTTGTTATCCTGCATTGATTTTAGGTATATCACTGATGTCCTGACTGAGGAGGATGCCTATGGTGAGTCATGTGCGAGGAGTGGGCCTGGAAGCTTCCTGGTTTACTGAAATGTGTACGCAGCAGCCATAGGCCCTGTTGGATGGATGAAAGAGTGAGTGATGATTTTTATTTTTTGCAGAAATACTAAAGAAAGGTAAAATTGGTAAAAAAGAAAGAGGTAGGTTATAAGAAAATTTCCTTCCTTGCTTGTTCTATCATTGTTCACTTTTAAATGTCCCTGTCTTCTATGGGTACACATTATCCTCAGATGCACTGTGCCAACCTGGGTGACTCGGGGAGATTAAGGCATGAGGATCACAAACTCTAGGCCAGCCAGATGCACTGTGCCTAGCAACTAAGGCCCCAATCAGAATTGTGGGTCTAGGTGAAGAAGCCACATAGGTATGACCTCTGGCTGCAGGGTTCACTTCAGCCACTGCTCACAGAAAGTTTGACTTTAGGGTTCTACTGTAGGTTAGGGGGACCCTTGGGGAGTAGGGCATTCAGAGAGGGTATCTTGATCACCTGGAATTGATACTCCAATTGGCTGAACTTGTGGCAGGGTGCATGTGAAGGG